TTTTTTGCAGCTTTGACGAGTTTGCGGAAGCAGCTTTTCAAGATCGGCCCCGGCCCCCACTGCGCCGGGGCGGGGAGGGGGCACCACCCCCGCCAGACCCCCTCCCCAAACTTCCAGGAGCAGGAGGGTCCCTCTCGCCCTTCCTCCCTTCCCCGCGCCGTGTTTGTGCGTTAGGAGATCCCGGCGCCCCCCGGGGTCCTCCCCCGGAGTGGGGAGGGGCGGGAGGGGACCCCGGGGGGGCCGCAGCCGGCACGGGGTGGGTGGGGGGCCGGGGGTGTTAATGCCCACTCGCTGCTTCGCTCTCCGAGGCCGCCCCTGCCTGGCAGGAGGTTCCAGAGAGACCCCCCCCCTCCCCACCCCCACCTCGGAGACTGGGTTTTAAAAAAAACCCCCCCACAAACATTTTTGCCCCTGCACCCCAAATCTCAGCCCAGCAGAGCACAAAGAGCCCCCCACCCCAGCCCCGTCTAGTATATACAATATAAGGTATAAATAGATAAATAACCTTCCCCCCCAAGTGCAGCCCCAGCCGTGGGGGCCAAGGGTGAGCAGGGGGGGCTCCACCCGGCCCCTCCAGCCGTGGGGGCCACGTGTGGGAAGGAGGGGTCCCCACCCAGCCCCTCCAGCCCCCCACCAGAGCTGGGGGAGCGGGTCTTGCCCCTCGCCCTGCCCCCATCCCCACCTCACACCTTGGCACACGGCTGGGACCTCCTGAGGGGGGGGACAAGGAGGGGGTGTCCCTGTGTCCCCCCTTCAAGGCGTCCTGATGGAGGGCCACAAATGAGGAGGGGGACACGGGGAAGCCACATCCTCTGGAGCCCAAGGGAGAGGGAAAGACCCCCCCCGCTTAGGGGGGGTGGGGGGCAGGTTGGGATGGAGGGGGGGGCTCACATTTAAAAACAACAACAAATAAAAAGAAACGAATCTAACACTTAAAATGAGGTAGGTTTGGGTGCAGAAGCTCCTTGTGTCTGTCGGGGTCTTGGCTGCATCCCGCCGCCGCTCCGGGGTCTCGTCCACACGCACAAACAAAAAGAGATCAAAGGAACCGAGCAAGCTCTGGCCGCCACGCCGGCGGGGCAGAGCCCGGATTGTCGAGCTCAAGGAGTCTGTGTTACCTTGGTAATTAGCGAGCAAATATCATTAGTTTCTAAAA